TCTCAGGTGGAAAGTGTAGGCAACAGTCAGGCAAGTGAGCACAGCGCATTATGATGGCCCAGTGAGCAAATACCTTTCGAGCAGATACCTTTCGAGTGTACTTGCGAGTGGGAATATCCAGATTGTACGACGAGGTACAACGGGTTGAAACACTCAGACGATGCCAAACTCTGCAGCGTCTTCTACAACTTAGCTCGTCCGCCGAGTCCAGACCACAAAAAGCGTATCAACGTGGTTGCTGACTGCTATGAATAATGAAAGGCAAAAGTATCAACCCTGTGAAAATTAAATCGAATTTACTCCCAGTCATGGACAGGCAAACAGCATGAATTTAGCTGCCTAATTCCTCTTTCATCACTGTTCCTAGCCCTATTTGAACTCTTGAGCAGGCACTGGATTGATGTGACATGTTCGAATACCCGTTTCATTCTTTACGCCACACTTTTCGGTGCGCTGTCCACCGATTATATTCTTCGTCGTTTCAGTCACACAGCCAAGTATCGCTTACCTTTTCCGCGATTATTTCCAATTTCTTGTCTACGAACCCAAAAATAGATAAGCCAGACTGCATTCGATCATTTCGGGTTGGCTAAAATTTTAATTTGTAACTCCGATAATGACACAAAATCAGTAATAAAATATGTTGCATACAGTTGTGTTCATTACAAGCCATTTGACTTTTTGAGCCTCTTTCGAATGCTTGTGGTGTGGTAATATGGATGAATACGCACCCCAGGTCATACGGAACACAACTGGCCCAGTTGTTCATAGTATCATATGTTATTCAGCCATTCCTCTTCCGGGAGCACCTCTGAAGAACGTGAAACCGGTGGTCTTGGGGTAGCCTTTTGACATAAGAACAGGTTCTCTTTATAAATGAACGGCTACCTTGTTTGCTTTTGTCATTCATGATGACGCAGTTATTTATTCCATTCCAAAGAGACAAACACGTTGTTGTTCTTACGCGTTTGCGACAAGATTTTAATTGCTTCTTTCCAAAACTCGTTCTCTTCTATACAAAAGCTTTTCCTTTGGCTAAATGCTCAGTCTGTTAATTAGTTCACCTTTGCTGTTTGTTTATGTTTGTAAAATCTCTCGTGACACGTTGTTGTTTTTTGTCCACAATCGATGAATGTGGTTGGTGTAGAACAAGGAAAGGGTGTGACATGAAGGTCGATAAAGTCCCTAATTTCGCATACAAACCAACATTCTTCTATCACGAAATACTGCGACTTTCTCCAGGGTTTTGAACCCAATGGAAACTGGAGTTTCAAGGAAGTTACAATACGGGAATCGCACCGTGAATTACGGTCTGATGATTCTTTTTCCCTGAAGATTGACGGGCACTACCTTGTTTGGTTCCCGTCTGAATGCGACTGTCTAAAAGTCTTCAACTATTGCGTAGGGCCTAGTGATGCCCATGGGTGGTTCACTCGTCCAGCTTAAAAACGCACACGGCGCCGATTGTCACCCTCTCAATAACCGAATTGTTCGCGTGGTTGGGACAACAATCCTTAAGTAGTATACACCATCTTCTTCCACCTAGATCTTACGTGCACAACATCCTTGTTTGTGGACAGGAAATCGAGAGGGTTACGCATAAACAGGGAAGTGAATCCATATAAAAAAGGGTAAACTTAAGCATGTCACGTCAGTACAATGGCTGGTCAAAAGTTCAAATGAGGTATGAAAGACGAATCAGGTAGGTATCACTTGTTTGTCCGCAGCTTAGAATTTACAGTGGTCTAAACCTGTTTAACTCTTTACGAGGATTCCACTTTTGAGTTTGATTATTCATAGCGGTCGGCAACCATGCGGATGTTTTTTTTAGGTTCAGAGTGACCAGGTGCGCTGGCGAGACACGTCAAGTCTATAGTTTTCTTTAATTTTGGCTTCTTTCATGCAGGGGATAATCTTTATACAGGACGCCACGTATCCATATTCCTTTGATAACATCCCACCAACCTGATAAAGTCGAATATCCCCGCAGCCTGAGTTTGTCTACATTTTTTGAACGAAATCAGTTGTTACGAGGATTCTCGTGCCTGTTCTGCATGGAACTCGCCAGCTGGTTCCGCGTAACAGTTAGTCAGCTCTAAAAATATTCATTTCTTTGAAATATCGGCTTCGATGTACATGACTGTAACCTACATTAGGTGAAATTTCACGAGGATCTCCGTTGGAAATCAGGAACATCTAATTGGTTTTCATCTAAGTACCTCTAACTCGAGTTTATCGTTCGCCTCCCTAGGTGAATTTTCATCCGCGAGAGGATCCCCCAATATTTATTTGTAGTGTTTGGCTGGACTGGTAACTCTGATAAATGCAGCAAGTGACTGATTTGTACTGTCACCGGCAGTTTTTTTAAATGCGTTTTCTGTCCATACGTCTTGGAATGAATCATTTGACAATGAATCGGCGAATCCCTCCAGTTCTTTAAATCATGGAATTTGAAAAGCAGATTTCTCCGGTACCTGTGGATTCTCAACGAATCCGAGATGGCTCACACACACTAAAAATAGTGGATCTGTGTCCCTGTAAGAATGTCTGTGTATCGCATCTGAACCAGCAGGACGCACCGGTCATTTTGAGGACAGGCATCTTCATCTGGCAGCTCAGAGAGCGGAAGTCCGCTCGCCGGTCATCAAGGGCTTCCATAGACGCCAGCAGTGAGCTCGAATGAGAAGGAAAACAGAGTTGCTCGTAGTTTATTCAGAAAATCGGTGCAACAGATCTCTGTCTTATTCGGTACCATTCAGGGTCTCTCTTAGGCTTCAGTTTTCATGAGCCCGACTCGTAAAATCGTTTTTGATTGTTGATTGTTTGACAACTGTCACACGACAGGGGACCACATAAAAGGTGATGACTGATGTGGGGCACACAGATGCATCCTGGACAAATCTGGTGGACCTACCCAATGCAGTGGAGTTAAGTAGACAAGGTTCAAATAAAACCACGCGGTACTGAGATAAACAGTTGACTCAGTACACATGGTTGACAGTTTGTGGCATTCGTGAGATTTTTTCTCAACCATTATCTGCACTTTTTCACGGAGATTAGCTAGGTCAGGTAGCCAACGGTCACGCTGACTGACTGACAGTTGCTGAAGTTCATGCTGGGACGGTTTCGGATCCGGTGTCCGAACAAACAGTCATTCCGTAGAACGTCCAGCGTTTAATCAGGTGACAGTTTAGTCCACCAATTCGAATGTAAACAGATATTAGACAACGAAAGTTTGCAAGCTTACTGCGTGGACTATCGCAGGCCACTTACTGACTTAAGTGTGTTTGCGGTTTAGCTACTGATCATTAGCCTCTAAGTTCGGTCCTGTGCGGACTACCCGCGTATGACTGAATGTTTGGTTAATCGAGTGTCCGTTTTAATCCAGCCTTCCAAATATGCACACCCTGATTAGGCAGCTTGAAAGGAAGCTGTCGCATTCACAAGCTTCCGAAAGTCAAATGAAAATCTTGCTCAGCAGTTAACTCGCCATGGATTTTATCGTCTTTTGTTTTTTTGGGAAAAGCCCAAATACAATTTTTTTTAACCTCTGGAGCGAATTGAATGAAGTACTCGTCGACCGAATAGGTTACCCAAGTGGGTGAAATACGAACGAGATTGACCTGTTGCTTGAACGGTTTTGTGGACCAGTCGCTTCGAAAGATTTAGGGCTGCTTGTGTGAATCTGAATCTGTTGAGTATTGGAGCTGTCAGGTTTACAAAAACCGAGTGTCCTTGGCTTGTCAGTGAATGCAATGCAGGCATGGTGAAGTCTTTCTAAATTCTCTAAAGAATGCTAGTCTCCAGTGATCTAAAACCCTCTATATTTGTATGTGTAAGTTTCCTGAAAAACTGGGAGCCTTTTCGAACAGACTTCGGGATTGCCCAGATATAAGCATTGTAGAAATCGTGCAAGGAGATCAGTGGTGTGGCTGAGTCTTTAGTCGCTATTCCATTACGCATCGCATCACGTGTGGATTGTAGACGCGCACTCAAGATCTGGATCGGGCAACTGACAGGTCATGACTCTTGTAGGCGAGACAGAGACCACTGGTTAGCTATCGGTCTATGGGTGGTTTCATTTAGGACCATATTTTCGTACTTTAGCCTCTCGTTCTACCTCAGATCAATTAGAAGAGGGTTTCACTGAGCTAAACGACCATAAAAACAGTCGGACTAACTGAAATTTTCATCTCGAATCAGTCGAAATGCAATTCGACGTTGTTCGACTATGAATCAAAAGAAGGCGGTAAATCTCCACAAACCTGCAGAGAACACATATACGTCATTCACCAAAAAGTGCAAATGGAGCTCGGTTGCACGTTTTCACGAAGATTCGAACTTCATGAAAGGTCTTCCTGGCCCCACCGTACCACCTGGCATATGCTTCTGTTCTACGGACTTTAAAGGACGTCCATGCATACCCGTCAAGGGACTTATCAGAATGTGTTGTTATCTTTAACAACGCCCAAATACAATATTATGTTTTTTATTGTACTATTGTGAAAAAAAACAACCCCGGGCATTATGGTGCGAATCGTGAAAATCGCGTCGGTCAGTCGCTCATCCCAACAATGGCACAACCTGATCTTGGCTGTCTGGATAACTTCGTTTCACAAGGCGAGATGATGGAGCTAGAGTGAATCGAAGAAGAGAAGCCCACCCCTCTGTTGATGATCACTGAACAACAATGCCACTCAGAAGCTGTTCTGTCATTGGCTTTGTGTTCTCCTGTCTGGTTTCGAAGCAAGGTGCTTGACTTATTGTGGCGATATCTCGTTTCTTTTTGGTCCATACCATCTCAAATACACTGGTCTGTGATGAAAAGCGGGTTTGTCTTGTCCAAGTTAATGACCATCATCACAAGTGGAATAGTTTCTCTTTCCCGGGTACTACTGCTCAAACGGTCAAGTAATTCAGTAGTACTGTACTTAATCAATGAATTCCAAGGCATCTGTTCAATAAAATTGGCCACTTTCCCTCTACTTCTTTTTTCACAGATATACACACGACGTTCTCCTGGAGTCTTTGCGAGAGTTTTTCCACGCCTATGCTGACCGTCCAAGGTTCAGTCTCACATTTCTCAGTGAACTGATTCATGACAATCCTGCCTACGCAACGCTTTTAGATGACGATCTAGTCACACTGCTGAGGCAGATACAGGTGAATGATGAACAAGACTTTCTGTTCGACGAACCCAAGCCCTTTTCCAACACGATAGTGATACTTTTCGCCGACCACGGACCTCGACTCGGTGGAGCTCGTCTTTCTGTGCAAGTAAGTGTTCTCCGTGGCGCACGCGGTCGCTTTAGCTCAGGCGGCTGCTTTTCGTGTGTCACTGATAGCGTCATCCACAGTTTTGTGTGGGGTATGATAGTGACTCGAACGCGAAAATTTAGCAAGATTTTGTTGTAAATATCAGGATGCAATAGATGCCATGAGAATTCAGCCAAAAAGAACCTCTTTAAAAGACTAAACAGTGTGAGGTTGAAACGCGCCTGACGCATCTGAAAAAAACAGTGATAGTCCCTAAACGGCACGTTAGAATTCCGCTTAATTTGGCGATCACCCTAGACAGAGACCTTCAGATTTCTAATTCAGATGACCGTTCGCCGCAACCGTTTCTGAAAGACTAACGAGAAATGAGGTGTTATGCATGGGAATCGGGTACGATCAACGGCTGTACGTGACCTGAGAACGAGCGCACGAATCCCCAGCTATGATGCGAGCCCAACCACTCCTGGCGCAGAGAGAGAAGACCAGACCTTCAGAAGAGGGTTTCACTGCCTCAACCAAAGGCGAATTACAGCGAGAGCAACGTCGTATATATATATCGAGCGAACTTGGGAGCGATAAGTCAGCTAATGCACACAAAGTATAGCTGCCCAATAGGAAAAGAGCGCGATCTTTACGGATTGAGATGCAACATGGCGGAAAGGACGCGAAATTTAAAATTTCAAAACTTTTTGAAAATAAATTGGCAATAACTCGGAAAATAAGCAGTTAAAAATTTAAGAAAAATAATTTGGAAATGACTAGAAAAATAAACCGTTTTTGGGGATACTGACATCCCCAACATGAGGTTAGCATCAACCGAGGTAGATCTGTCACTACACAGCATTCATGTTAGTTCTATACTTCGGTTTCAAGTGTTAACACGGGACCTTAGTGCAAGCTGAACTAAGTGTCCCAGATGAACACTTATTTTCCGCTTCTCAGCTGGCTCCCATTATGAACTATGCTCATCAAAAGCGATGGTCACATTGCTGAGAAGTCAGCAGGTTTAGCCAACCGCCGAAATGTTTTGACTGATCAGCTTGCCCGTACAAATAGTTTGAAAGAGGCACGACTAAAAATACCAGGATACGAAAGTGTATAAACTGCTTTTGTGATCTGGAAGCCTTGAATAGGTGGCCAGTTCAGCGAGGAAGGGTTGACTAGCAAATTTATGTGTTTGCCTATAAAAACAGCTCGTCACCCCCGCCTTGTGTGGTATCAGGTTACACAACTGACGATGACGTAATCACTTGCAGTTTATTTGTATTATCATAGCAGTTGATTTTGCGATTTCACATCCTTATGGATTCATGAAATCCAAAAGAAAGACTTGTCTGTTAGCCCCATTTTGCGCATCGCAAACCCAGCCGCCCTATACGGGGTGACGAGGTTAAGTATTTAGTGCCTTTGTGCCAAGTTCGCATTAGGTAAATCACCGATTCTGGACTCGAATCTGATGAATTCGTCTCCCAGCTGTGTGGATTGTTGGTCCGATGAATTTTACACGTTCAGATCTGTTCCATGGCGAAGAAACTCACTACACTACCACCGCTATGCATTTCACAAATCTTCAGGAAAACTCGAACCTTCTGGTCGAAAGTTGAAACTACACCGTTGAGCCACGATTGACTGATTAGTAGTGTGACTATTTTTCGCACTCAGAGGGCACACACACACAGGCACACCCAGCATCGACTTCTCATGTGGATGGTTCATGCGGCCTCTGAGATTCCTGAAGTTATGAGCTGGGAGAAAACGTGTCCACGGGTTCACTAGTTGGTCCTTTATCGGTTGGTATTCTATAGTGACGCAAGAATGTCATCAATCTTATTAGTTTATTGATGATTTTGGTCGATATGTTTGGACCGCATGGCCGAGGATATGAAATGCTGATGAGCTCTAATAAGGGCGAAACTTGAGTCCAATGCTTCTCCACTTTGGTGAGGACTCATCAGAATAGTTGCGCCATGACAGTAGGATGACTGTTCAAACGGGAGGGGTATGAGCACGAATCCTATGGCGCTCAGTATTCGCACAATGGAATTGAAGTTTCGAAATCTACGACGTGTCCCCGTTGGACTAAAAGAGACAGGGAATTGAGTTCAGAGTACGAGTCTAATCTTTTGAGCCCCATCTATACATCTCGGAGTATCAGAAATGCTAGGAAAGTATTCCACCAGACTTTCCTTTAGAGGTATGATTGCTTCAGTGGATAATGAAATTCGGGAGCTGCAAAAATATGAACGTAGATTAGGATGGATTTTGGTTTGAGCACGTATGCAACGAAATGTAACATTTTGAAATTCGGGCAAAAATATGAACGTAGATTAGGATGGATTTTGGTTTGAGCACGTATGCAACGAAATGTAACATTTTGGCGTAAAAAGTTACATTCCACCCGCAAAGGTTTTGCAGCTATAAGCATTGTGCGGCTAATGGGCCCCGAATTCTACACATCCCGCGACCACCTACAGCTAATCATGGAAAATCCACTTCTGACCAACGAAATAAGTTATCTTTGGTAGTAGTGGACACTGGCTTGTTTGCATGTTCAGCTGCTTTCACACACACACACACACACATCGCAGCACCCAGGGCTACTGGGTGTGGCTTCTCGGTCTGTGCTGTTCTATATCATTTTACCTCTCGCTGTCACTCTCATGTTTGTTTGCCTTTTCCCCATGGAACAGTGCAATTTCTCATCTCAATTAGGATTAGGAAATTGGCATTTAGGCTTGGAAAACCCCCTAGTAGCCTGTTCAGAATGAGGTGAACTAAACTATTTGAGGATCTCAGGGCGTTACCGGTTTGAAATCGTCAGAGAATTGGCGAAGCTGATGATGGTAAGGAAGCATGCGTTGGGTCAATAGAAGCTGGGACAGACTTGGGACCTAGCCTATCCTAGCCTATCCACCTGCAGTTCCTCATGGAGATAAGATATACTCAGTCCTAAGTAAGTTAAGCTCACGCTCAAAGACTTAGGTCATGTTCATCAGAATACATCTTGTTTTTGGGTCTGGAGCGTTAATCAACCGGTGTGTTGCTGATGTGCAGTGCTTACTGACCCATTGGCCCATTGGCCGGAGCGGATGTGAAGTGGTATGGATAGATTCTCGGACAAGTTTGATCGATTTTTTTCGCGACAGAATCTCCTAGATTGTCGGGTATACACGTGGTCAAAGTTATCTCGATCCCACATCTGCACTGTCCACATTTTGCTTGCAGAGATCCGAAGATTTCAGATTTCAGATACACAGTACACAGTCATTATTGACTCTGGTGTCAGATTTTCAAAGGCCTGAATACTCCCGAATACTTCATGGCTGTCCTTGAGTCTCGTTGATCTGGTTCCGGAAAGCATACGAACATAGTTCCCCATAGGATAGCTGACTATACCTTACAAACAGTCGGTCACTAATTTCGTCCTATTTGGGGCTCGTAACGCTGTTGGTCTTGTATCCGGTCTTTGATGATATCTTTTCGGTTGAAAATACCTTTCGGTGGAGAGATCAGCCGCAAATCGTCACACCCGACCCACCACAATTTCGGCAAGTCGGATTTCTCTTAATTTGTTATGCTCTGAAAATCGAGCGAACCTAGGATTGGAGAAGGATTCAGGGTAGCCTCTAGTTCATACTTTTTTTACTTGAAGGTGTAGTATGAAACTCTTGCAATTTTGAGGACATTTCGATCTCCACAAGTTGCATGGGAAGACTGATAAAAGCTCAACGGAACTCACTGTGTTTGTTCTAGAACGTTTGCTCAGTAGATGGGCTGGGGAACAGTAAACTGGGTGAATCTTTGTGAAGTAAACTTATTAGTGACCAACAAGGAGAAACATATCCCTGATCCCAAATTTTTCGTAATTTGAAAGAGCAAAGTTTGTGTGTTCTAAATGCCAACATGCGGTTCGGAAGTACGTTGATCTAGGACTGGCTCTCAGGGGTGTACTTTTTCGATAACCAATGTTGGGTTTGGATGAGCAGCACTTATAAGTAAATATGTTCAATCTTATGAGTGACTGGCATCCGAATCGGGTTTGCCGGTCCATATTGGTCTGGCCCTGGAAGCCTGCACATAGTATGAAGCCAAATGCGGTGCTCTGCGTCAGTCTTTGGGACTGATATAAATTCTAGGGAATAAGTTCAGTGGGTAAAAGTGCAGAGGGCTGTAGCAAGTCATCAGTCGGCCTAGACATGATGGGATAGGCACCAGTACCACTTACTTGGTTATCGAGACGCAGGAATCATCTATCAATTTCTTCAAGTTTCAGAGTAATACCGAACATCCCCAGCAAAGTATCAAGCAAACAATATTATGAGTAGTCTCGTACCACTAAACAAAAAGGAATTTTGTGATATCTCGAATATTGCACCAACTGAAACTTGAGAGTGATACTGCACCTCTCCCAGGATAGTATCAGGCAAGTGTTACCGTGAGCCTCCGTCAACATCTCATCGAGGTGGTAATGGCATATTAGTGGAGATATTCCACTAACCCTGAAGTTAGTAATATGGAGCGGTGCCATTATAAGGTGGAACAAGCTCATCCGGGTTCCAGTAAGTTGAGCTTTTCAGGTAAACCAGTGGGCACGCTGATGGGATACAAGGCTGATCCTCTTAGGGCATGATCGAAGCTGTATTTGGATGAATTAGTCCCCTCCGAATGTCTCGCTTATTCTTCAGCATTGCGGCGTGTTGTGCCCCAAAGCTTCGCACGTCTAGCTACTTCCCATACCGTTCTTCCAAGTTCCAGGTCCTTTCACAAGGTAAAATATAAGTTACAGTT